TGGGTTGGACGACAGCCAGGGCAAAAAAGGAAGTGGGGGTAGAGGATGGGGGAAACGGACTGAGCTCTGCTGCGCTACAAGCGGGCTGTAGCGGCTGCTGAGAGACAGCGAGATGGGGACAGCTCAAAATGGTGCCAGAGCTGGAGTGGAACACACAAAGAAGTGGCGTCAGTGCGAGCGATAAAAGTGGAAGAAGTGGAAGAGAAAAAAAAAGTAGGAAGAGGAGAGATAAAAGAAACAGTAAAGGCAGACTGGGAGGAAAAGATAGAGAACTTTGAATACAAGGGTAGAACAGGTTGGTTCCCGAAACAAAGTGGAGGGAAAATGGGTCATGACAAGAGCGAGCTCGTGCCAGGCGCGCAGTCTTTCGGAAGTGAGATCGCCTGTGGGGTTTATGCAGGCACGAGAGTAAGAAGAAGAAGAAGAAAAACGATTTTTTCTGGAAAAATGAGGGGGGACTTCGAAAACTACGAGGTGGAGGGGGGTTTGGTAGGACAAGCGTCCGAACTTGCACATCTCCTGCTGGGCCATGACTTCCCGTTAGCTCTCAAGTACATCACACGTAAGCAATTTATGTGCGATGTTGACTAGGTGGTTGTGAAAATCGAAAAAATCTGCAGAGTGACATGCCATGATTTCAAGATTTTTATAAGTACGAAAAGAGTCTAGTGGAGGACGTAGTGTGGGGGGGGATATGGGACTGGGGTAGTTCTATTGTTCATTCTCTTTTGTACCGTAAGAAGAAACAATGTACCGATGGTATGGAGGCTATGAAAGAGGATGATACTTTGTATTAATGTGTCATTTGTATAGAAACTATCGTTGCCTTTCATGTTGTTTACAAAACTGAAATATATATCACAAATGCATGCCACTCTGCAGAATTTTTCCATTTCACACCCAACTATCAAGAGCGAACATAAATTGCTTAGGGTTTACTAAACCCTGCTTGCGTGTGATGTACTTGAGAGTTAACGGGAAATCATGGCCCAGCAGGAAATGTGCAAGTTCGAACGCTTACCCTGCCAAGCATCCCTCCACCTCGTAGTTTCCGAAGTGCCCCCTACTTTCCCCAGAAAAAAACGTTTTTTTTCTTTCTTCTTATTCTCCTGCCTGCATAAACCCTGCAGATGATCTCACTTCCAAAAGGCTGCGCACCTGGCACGAGCTCGCTCTTGTTATGACACAGTCCCTCCACTTTGTTTCGGGAACCAACCTGTTCTACCCTTGCTTTCGAACTTCTCTATCTTTTCCTCCCATTCTGCCTTCACTGTTCGTTTTCTTCTCTACTCTTCTTACTTTTTTTTTTTCTTCCACTTCTTCCATCCACTCCTCCTCAAACTTGTTGCCCCTGCCTCTACTCCTCCAGCCCCTCCCTCTCCTCGTCCCCCTCTCATCCCCTCTCCCCTGTGTGATGGCGAAAGGGGGGTGGGCACACTGCACACATCTACACACATCTACACACACATCATACATCCACCTACGTACTCACCACAGCAATAAAGCCCTCGTGCGCTGCTCGCGTGGAGAGAGTGTCCTTGGTGCGGCCCTTGCCGCCTGGTGTGGGCATACGAGCATATGCGCAAACGAGCATGGGGGCGCGGGGGCATGGGGCATTGGGGGCATGTAAGCAGCACCAGAAGGCATAGTCAACACTAGTCAAATCCAGCCAGCGAGAACGAGCGCAAGTCAGCGCCAGTCAACTCACCTGGCAAGTCAACGGCAATGACTCTGTGCCCTGCTGCTGCCAGATGCTCAATGGTGCCTGCACGGGTCAGACACGCATGAGGTACGGGGTAAAAGAGAAGAGGGAGGAGAGGCAATGGGTGGGCTGGCATTCACTCTGTGTCAGGCTGCTGCTACAAGGTTGCAATCACTCTCTGCTACAAGGTCGCAATCACCCTCTGCTACAAGGTCGCAATCACCCTCTGCTACAAGGTCGCAATCACTCTCTGCTACAAGGTCGCAATCACCCTCTGCTACAAGGTCGCAATCACTCTCTGCTACAAGGTCGCAATCACCCTCTGCTACAAGGTCGCAATCACTCTCTGCTACAAGGTCGCAATCACTCTCTGCCACAAGGTCGCAATCACTCTCTGCTACAAGGTCGCAATCACTCTCTGCCACAAGGTCGCAATCACCCTCTGCTACAAGGTCGCAATCACTCTCTGCTACAAGGTCGCAATCACTCTCTGCTACAAGGTCGCAATCACCCTCTGCTACAAGGTCGCAATCACTCTCTGCTACAAGGTCGCAACCACTCTCTGCTACAAGGTCGCAATCACTCTCTGCTACAAGGTCGCAATCACTCTCTGCTACAAGGTCGCAATCACTCTCTGCCACAAGGTCGCAATCACCCTCTGCTACAAGGTCGCAATCACTCTCTGCTACAAGGTCGCAATCACTCTCTGCTACAAGGTCGCAATCACCCTCTGCTACAAGGTCGCAATCACTCTCTGCTACAAGGTCGCAACCACTCTCTGCTACAAGGTCGCAATCACCCTCTGCTACAAGGTCGCAATCACTCTCTGCTACAAGGTCGCAATCACTCTCTGCTACAAGGTCGCAATCACTCTCTGCTACAAGGTCGCAATCACTCTCTGCCACAAGGTCGCAATCACTCTCTGCTACAAGGTCGCAATCACTCTCTGCCACAAGGTCGCAATCACTCTCTGCCACAAGGTCGCAATCACTCTCTGCTACAAGGTCGCAATCACTCTCTGCTACAAGGTCGCAATCACTCTCTGCTACAAGGTCGCAACCACTCTCTGCTACAAGGTCGCAATCACTCTCTGCTACAAGGTCGCAACCACTCTCTGCTACAAGGTCGCAATCACCCTCTGCTACAAGGTCGCAATCACTCTCTGCTACAAGGTCGCAATCACTCTCTGCTACAAGGTCGCAATCACCCTCTGCTACAAGGTCGCAATCACCCTCTGCTACAAGGTCGCTGGTGACTGTGTGCGAAGCGACAAACGCGGCGGGGCGGGAGAGGGGAGAAGGTATGTTCGGTGAGGGGGGGAGGGGAGGGGGGGAGGGGAGGGGGGAGGGGAGGGGGGAGGGAAGGTGGGGTGGGGAGGGGGGAGGGAAGGTGGGGTGGGGAGCGGGGCGGAGTGGGTGCACGTTGCACCACCACCATCCCACGGGACCCTTGTCATGGAAAAAAGACATTGGTAAGGCCGCATGGAAAAAAGGCACAATATTCCATGCGGCCTTACCAATGTCTTTCCAAGTCTTGGCTTCGAACAATCTCCCATGCAGCAGCACCACCGTCATTCCCGAGGGGTTTCTTTCTATGGCAAGGGATTTGGCAACACATTTCATGCGGCCCTACCGATGTCTTTCAAGTCTTGGCTTCGAACGACCTCCCATGCAGCAGAACCACCGTCATTCCCGAGGGTTCTTTCTATGATGGAGGAAGGGGAGTAGGCACTACGTTCCATGCAGCCTTACCAATGTCTTTCCACGTCTTGGCCTCAAACGATCGCCCATGCAGCAGAACCACCGTCATTCCCGAGGCTCCCCCACCCGCACCCTCCCCTCCTCCACCTCCTCCCGTCCCGGGCTTCCTGGAACCTTCCAGGAACCGCAGCGTCACGCGCTGCCGCCCCTCCTCCTCCGTGATTTCCGGCGGCAGATTCACCACCGTTTCCCTCTCCTCCACTAGGACCTCCGCAGGACGCGCCGCCATCGCCGCGGGGTCGCCGCCGGAATTAACGGCGCGGTTTGCGGAGAAGGACGAGGAGGAGGCGTCGGACAGCGAGGCGTCACGGCGCGCGACTAAGAGGACCAGCGCGGTTACTAGAATCGCGACCGTTAAGAGGAATCCTCGAGTCGGCAGGCTGAGCGAGTCTATGTAAAGTCGCACGAAGCTGCTATTGCTGCTATCGCCGGCTCGCGGCGCGTTCGAATGCGAGGTTCCTAGTGACCTACGCATGAGTGCTGACGTGAGTAATTGCAAGCCGCAGCTCGCCCTCAGTATGGGAATAGATTGACGGGCTGAAAAGCGTTATGAGAAGTGTCCTTGTGACAAGAAATCGAACGATAGCTTTTGCCTTGCAAGCCGAGTTGTACGGACGAATCTTTTCCTCGAAATGTCCGTTTGGCGTAATTTAGCTGGAAAAACATCCCCAGTTTCGAATTCAACGGGAGGAGAAAAGCGTGGAACTTCTGCGCAGCTGTTTGTGGCGAAAGTAACGCCTTTGCGAAAACTTTGCGATCACTTATCGAGTTCAGCGAAGGAAGCCCGTCCACGAAAATGCAGCCAGGCCCTTCGCTTTCCTGCTGGGGTATTCCAGGCCAGGCTGCTTTTAGCGTTCCATCCTCGGTACGATACGTACGAGTGTAGCGTGGCGTGCCAAACGGGTCGAGTCGAGTGTCAGTGAAGTGGAAACCTTTTGTTGCTGAAAACGAGACGAGGTTGAAACTACACTTGGGAAACGCTCCAAATGAATGATGATGGCTTTGTGTTGTTCAGATCCTTTTTGTCACTACAATCCGACAGTTAGACGATTGGTAAGTCCTTTTTTTCCCAGAAGTGATCTCGTTCGTGCTTGTCACATGCGAACGAAAGGAGAAGGCGAATGGCGGTAACCTCGTGTTTCGCATTGCCCTCCTCAGGCGCAGCAATGCGCGGGATCCGCGCTTCAATATCCGACAGTCCCGCGTTTCCACATTCTTCAGTACTGTCGCCCTCACAACTCTCGATACAATCACGTCCTCCCTCGACGCTAGCCTGCTCGATACTGTCACAATCGCGACCAGCCCCGTACCCGCTTAAAACCTCTTGCGCCTCCTCCGCTTCCCTCTCTTCCGCCTATTCCCGCTTTTTTACCCCCTGTTTCCCGCATCTTTCCGCCAAGGGTCTGTTCCCCCAGCGCCATGCCTCCCCCAGCCTCCGCCAGCCCCTGACTCCGCGACCCCGCCGGCTCCTCATTTCCGCCGCCGGGCGCAGCAAAGCGGCCCCGCGCGTGGTTCGGCGGAAGGTTTCCCCCGCGCACATGCGCCGCTTGCAGAAGCGCCCGGGCGGCATCCACCGGACGAATCTCTACCGCCGCGGGCGGCGCGGCGGGCGGCAGCTGAGCCAGGACGAGCTGACGTCACGCCTGCTGCAGAGCCCACAACTAGCGGCGGGAAACGCGGCGGGCTGGCCGCTGCTTAGCGCGTGTCTGTCCCCGTTGCCGTTAGCGCGGGAGGATCGGGAATGGATCTGGGCGAATGGGGATGAGATTAAGGAGGGTTTAGGGCTTTTGATGGCAGAAGAGGGGGATTGGTGGGAGACAGTGGGAGAGGGTTCAGGGTTTGGCTCTGGGGAAGAGGGGGAAGAGGAAGGGGAAGGGGAAGAGGGGGAATGGGAATATGGAGAGGATGATGAATATGAGGAAGGGGAGGGGGAGGGGGAGGAGTGGGGAAATGAGGGGGAATGGAGAGATGAAAGGAGAGGCAAAGTCGAGGTCAGAAGCGGAGCTGATAATAGGGGGGATGGCAGTGCTGTGAGAAGAGAGCCAGCAGCAGGAAGGGCAGGAGGAGAGTCAGTGGCAGCAGCAGCAACGACAGGAGCAGAAACGGCAGCAGCAGCAGCAACGACAGGAGCAGAAACGGCAGCAGCAGCAGCAACGACAGGAGCAGAAACGGCAGCAGCAGCAGCAGCAGCAGCAGCAGCAGCAGCAGTGGTAGGAGATAGCAGCGTGGGTGAATCGAGTCAAGAATTAGGCAGGAGAGGTTATGGGTTGGGGGAAGGGAGGGGTGCTGGGACTGGGGAGGTGGGAGGAGAGGAGGATATCCACGTGGCAGAAGAGGATTCGTTCAACCCTGCCAGCAAGCTAGACGAGCTCCTATACCTCTCGTATATGCACAGGTGGGTGCCACGTGTAAGATATCCACAGGTGAATGCCACATGGCATGCAGGTGTATGCAGATGGGTGAGTGAGTGTCACATGTATGGTGAGTGCATATTAGCTTGGGCATGCACGTGTCACTGCATGCACATATGCCGGTAGGCGTTGATGCAATCAAGGATATTCATGGCTCAGAATGACTTCTGAGATAATCTTCTGAGAATTCTTTTGAGACTTATTTTGAGAGTCACTTTTGAGACTTCTCAAAAGTTGATGCAATCAGGAGTATTCATGGCTCAGGATGTGGGGCACCGGGCTTCACCCCTTGTTCTTCTCACCACCCTTTCCCCCCCCTGTCGTCTCATGCTCCCCCCTCTCTACTTCTTCCCAAAAACCCACTAACCCGCCCCATCCCTCACAACCCATTACCACCTGTGCATCCCAATTAGATCCCCCCCCTCAGGATTTGTGCTGGCGTTTTTTTTTTTCCGGATATGTGCTGAACGTGTTTTCTCTCCCTTTTTCCCCACACCACACCACATCTAATCACGCCTAATCAAACCGCACGACACCACGCTGCACCGCATTACCGCTCCACACCCTCAGGGACCAACCTGACAAGTCACGGTTTCTCAAGGTGGCGGGGTCGCGACTTTCGTTTCTGGGCGGGTTTGTGCTGGAGCTGGCTCTGGCTGAGATGCTGCTGCAGGTGCGTTAAAGCCAGGGTCTCAAGTGACCAAGTGCTTTGCAGTTGCACGGCCAACCCATACATGAGACCCTGGCTTTAAGGATGGTGATGGCAGTGGTGCATGCAGGTGAGATGGTGCTTGGTCCCACAGGCGGCATGGGCGGGTTTGTGCTGGAGCTGGCTCTGGCTGAGATGCTGCTGCAGGTGAGGGAAGGGTGGTGGTGGTGCTGATGGTGGTGGTGTGCGTGCATGTGAGTTGGTGCTTTTGTTCCACAGATAGTGCCACAGGCACGGGAGGGTTCGTGCTGGAGCTGGCTCTGGCTGAAATGCTGCTGCAGGTGAGGGAAGGGTGATGGTGCAGGTGTGAGAATGGCGCTACAGATGAGAGCGTATGCATGCATGGTACAGGAATGTTGCTGCCACGTGTGATGGATGGTACAGGAATGTTGCTGCCACGTGTGATGGATGGTACAGGAATGTTGCTGCCACGTGTGATGGATGGTACAGGAATGTTGCTGCCACGTGTGATGGATGGTACAGGAATGTTGCTGCCACGTGTGATGGATGGTACAGGAATGTTGCTGCCACGTGTGATGGATGGTACAGGAATGTTGCTGCCACGTGTGATGGATGGTACAGGAATGTTGCTGCCACGTGTGATGGATGGTACAGGAATGTTGCTGCCACGTGTGATGGATGGGGGCCCTTTGTGTCGGAGCTGGCTCTTGCTGAGATGCTGCTGCAGGTGAGCTTTGATGATGGTGGTGAGAGAATGGAGCTGGCAGGTGCGGGCGTGTCGGAGCTGGCCGATTTTTTAGTCGACTAAAAAATCAACTTACTACACGCGGATTTTTGAATCGACTCGAAAAAAAAAAAAAATATGATGGTGGTGGTGGTGAGAGAATGGAGCTGACGGGTGCCACTTTCTCAAAAGTGATGGAGAATTCTCACAAGTGATTCCCAAATTGCATGCATGTTGGAGGAGGTGGCTCAGCCTGAGATGGTTGTGGTGGCGTGGCGGTAGTGGTGCTGGTGAGATGCTTGCAGGTGAGATGGTGCCTGGTGTCACACACACACCAGGCGGTGCGGTGCGGTGAGCGAGGATTCGTGCTGGAGCTGGCTCTTGCTGAAATGCTGCTGCAGGTGCGATGGTGATTTGAGACGTCTCAAAACACTGCTGCTGCAGGTGCGATGGTGATGGTCGTAGTGTTGCTGGCGCTGTGGTTATGCCTACTTAAGGGATGAATTGCTGGGACCAGTAGGCAGCAAGGGAGGGTTCGTGCTGGAGCTGGCTCTTGCTGAGATGCTGCTGCATGTAACCGCATTCTTTCCCCACAATTTCCGAGTGCGCTACCCCAGGGAGCCAGTAGCATCACTCAGGGAGCGCCAGGGAGCTGGGCAACAAGCGCCGCTTCCCACTGCTGCTCGCCCATTTTCCCACTCTCTGTCTGTGCCTTGGCCCTCTTTGTGTCTCCATTGAACTCAGTGCTACCCGCGCGAGCCAGTAGCACCGAGGGCCAGGGAGCTGACCAACAATCTAGTTTTGAGGTGACTTTTGAGTCGACTCAAAAGTCACAATCTAGTTTTGAGGCGCCTCAAAACTACCCGCGCGAGCCAGTAGCATCATTAAGGAAGAGGGTCAGGGAGCTGGCCAACAAGCGCCGCTTCGTTTTGAGGAGCCTCAAAAGCCAGGGAGCTGGCCAACAAGCGCCGTTTCGTTTTGAGGAGCCTCAAAAGCCAGGGAGCTGGCCAACAAGCGCCGCTTCGTTTTGAGGAGCCTCAAAAGCCAGGGAGCAGGCCAACAAGCGCCGTTTCCCACTGCTGCTCACTGCTCTCATCTCTTACTGATCCTTCTTCCCTCCTCGTGTTGCCTTGCCCACGGTGCTACCCCCGCAAGCCAGTAGCTTCACTGAGGGAGCGGGCCAGGGAGCTGGGCAACAAGCGCCGCCGTCCTCTGCTCTGCTGCTCACTGCTCTCGTCTCTTACTGCTACCCCTCCCTTTCTCCTTGTGTTTCTCTTACCCTCCCAGTTCTACCCCAGGGAGCCGGTTGCCTCGTTGAGAGAGAGGGCAAGGGAGCTAGGCAACAAGCGTCGGTTCCCTCTGCTGCTCGCTGCTCTGGTCGCTTACTGCTCCTCTCTCTCTCGTCCCTGCATTCCCCTTACCCTCCCAGTGCTACCCCAGGGAGCCGGTTGCCTCGTTGAGAGAGAGGGCAAGGGAGCTAGGCAACAAGCGCCGCTTCCCGCTGCTGCTCACTCAGGCCGGGCTGGACCGCCTGGTGTTTCCGGGTGCTCTGCTCATGCGCGCCCCCACCAACCTCAGGCAGCTTGCTGCCAAGTGAGTGGACTTGTCACTTTGGGCTTCAAGGCACGTGCTGCTCACTCAGGCCAGGTTGGACCGGCTGGTGTTCCCCGGCGCTCTGCTCTTGCGCGCTCCAACCAACCTGTGCCAGCTCGCTGCCAAGTGAATTCACTGGTTGGAATTGTCTCCAGTCACGTCGGGCTTTAAGGCAGTGCTAGGTTGGACCGCCTGGTGTTCCCCGGTGCCTTGCTCATGCGCGCCCCCACCAACCTCAGGCAGCTAGCCGCCAAGTGAGTGAGTGAGGTGGCAAGTGAGTGAGTGAGGTGGCGAGTGAGTGTGTGAGGTGACAAGTGAGTGAGTGAGTGAGTGAGTGAGGCGGCAAGTGATTGAGTGAGGCGGCAAGTGAGTGAGTGAGGTGTTTGGTTTGGACCCTGACCATCCTGAGATGCGGCCACTGACGCGCTGTGCCGTACCATTCACCTCTGCCCACCCCCCAGGAGTGTCTTCACGTCCCTAATCACCTCGGCATACCTCACACGGGGCATGCCAGAAGTATACAGGCTGCTGTTTGAGGTGTTCGGTTTGGACCCAGACCATCCCGAGATGAGTTCTACTGAGCAATTTTCCAGACATCCCGAGACCATCCCGAGATGTGCCCCAAGATCATTCGCTCAACCACCCACCCACCCACCCACCCACCCACCCACCCCCCTATTTGGCCTGCAGGAGTGTGTTTACTTCGCTCATTGCCTCGCCTTTCTCACTTGCTCATTGCCTCGCCTTTCTCACTCGCTCATTGCCTCGCCTTTCTCACTCGCTCGTTGCCTCGCCTTTCTCACTCGCTCATTGCCTCGCCTTTCTCACTCGCTCATTGCCTCGCCTTTCTCACTCGCCCATTGCCTCGCCTTTCTCACTCGCCCATTGCCTCGCCTTTCTCACTCGCTCATTGCCTCGCCTTTCTCACTCGCTCATTGCCTCGCCTTTCTCACTCGCTCATTGCCTCGCCTTTCTCACTCGCTCATTGCCTCGCCTTTCTCACTCGCTCATTGCCTCGCCTTTCTCACTCGCTCATTGCCTCGCCTTTCTCACTCGCTCATTGCCTCGCCTTTCTCACTCGCCCATTGCCTCGCCTTTCTCACTCGCTCATTGCCTCGCCTTTCTCACTCGCCCATTGCCTCGCCTTTCTCACTCGCTCATTGCCTCGCCTTTCTCACTCGCTCATTGCCTCGCCTTTCTCACTCGCTCATTGCCTCGCCTTTCTCACTCGCTCATTGCCTCGCCTTTCTCACTCGCTCATTGCCTCGCCTTTCTCACTCGCTCATTGCCTCGCCTTTCTCACTCGCTCATTGCCTCGCCTTTCTCACTCGCCCATTGCCTCGCCTTTCTCACTCGCTCATTGCCTCGCCTTTCTCACTCGCTCATTGCCTCGCCTTTCTCACTCGCTCATTGCCTCGCCTTTCTCACTCGCTCATTGCCTCGCCTTTCTCACTCGCGCCATGCCGGAGGTGTATCGGCTGCTGTTTGACGTGTTTGGGCTGGACCCCCACCATCCTGAGATGCGGCCACTGACGCGCTGTGCCGTACCATTCACCTCTGTCCGCCCACCCCCCAGGAGTGTCTTCACCTCCCTCATTGCATCAGCTTACCTCACTCGCGGCATGCCGGAGGTGTATCGGCTGCTGTTTGAGGTGTTCGGTTTGGACCCAGACCATCCCGAGATGCGCCCCAAGATCGAGCGCGTGCGTGACGAGGATTTCCTGCACGCTGACCTGGACGGCGACCCGCTGACGTGGCGCGACGTGGCATGCTACCAGGTGTGTGGAGGGGGGGCGTGCGAGGAGTGAGTTGGTGGGTGGGCGAGGAGGGTGGATGAGTGGGTGGGTGGGTGGGTGAATGCATGAGTGGGTTGGTGAATGGGTGTTTGTGTGCCTGGGACTCATGAGCTGCTTATTTACACTTTGTGAGCTTCCCAATATTTGACTTTTGAGTCGACTCATAAGTCACCTCTACAATATTTTAGGCACTGTACAATTTGAATCCTCACCTTCGCCCTTTCCCTTCCTTCCCCCTCTCTCCTCCCCACCCTTGCTCCTCTCCCACCTTCCCCTTCCAGTCCCCACCAGATTCCCTCTTCCCCAACCCTCGTCTCTTCCACGCGTGCGTGCCGCCCGGAATGTCCCGGTTCCGCGGCTCTGATTGGATGCACCGATCCCTGGAGGCGGCCCTGAGGGCGCTGGCTTGGCCGAGACCAGCCGAGGCTGGCATGAGCTTGGAGGCGAAGCAGCGGCGGAATGAAGACATGGTGATGGCCCTGCAGGTGAGAGTGGGATGATAAGGTGATGGGGAAGGGAATGGGAATGGTCACTGGGGCCTTTGTTTGGATGCACGGGTCCCTTAAAGCGGCACTGAGAGCGCTGGCGTGGCCGAGACCGGCTGAAGCAGGGATGAGCTTGGAGGCGAAGCAGCGACGCAATGAAGACATGGTGATGGCCCTGCAGGTGAGAGTGGTTGGGACAGGGTGGCTCCGATTGCACGGACTGGGTATGGGGCCCCCGATTGGATGCACCGATCCCTGGAGGCGGCACTGAGGGCGCCAGCAGAGGCAGGGATGGGCTTGGAGGCGAAGCAGCGACGCAATGAAGACATGGTGATGGCCCTGCAGGTGAGAGTGGATGAGTTTGAGGACAGCATGGCAGTGTTGATTTGCTTCGATCCTTTGAGGCAGCCCTGAGGGCGCTGGCGTGGCCCAGACCAGCAGAGGCAGGGATGGGCTTGGAGGCGAAGCAGAGACGGAATGAAGACATGGTGATGGCCCTGCAGGTGAGAGGGTGGTTGGGGACAGGGTGGCTCTGATTGCATGGACTGGGCATAGTGCCTCCGGATGCACCGATTGTGCTGGCGTGGCCGAGACCGGCTGAAGCGGGAATGAGCTTGGAGGCGAAGTAGAGACGGAACGAATACATGGTGATAGCTTTGCAGGTGAGGGTGGTTGGGGACAGGGTGGCTCTGATTGGATACAAGGGTCCCTGGAAGCAGCCCTGAAGGCGCTGGCGTGGCCCAGAGTGGCAGAGGCAGGGATGAGCTTGGAGGTGGAGCAGCGGCGGAATGAAGACATGGTGATGGCCCTGCAGGTGAGGGGGGATGGGAGTGAGGCTGTGCTGGTGTCTCTGACTGATTGTGGTGATGCACGCATGCCGATATCTGTACCATGGGGGGCACCAGTGCTGCTGCTTCTGTTGACACTCACTATCCCAACCCTCATGCTTTCCCCTCCTCCCCGCCAACTAACCTACCCGACTGTCCTCCCAGCTGTGCTTCCTGCACCCCTCTCTCTACCGTGGGGAGCATCCCCGCTTCTGCTACGACCGGCTTGAGTACCTGGGGCAGAAGATTCAGGTGAGGGGCGAATTTTGTCAGGGCACAGCAGGTGAGGGGCGAAGCAGGTGAGGGGCGAGGTTTGTCAGGGCACACCAGGTGAGGGGCGAGGTTTGTCAGGGCACAGCAGGTGAGGGGCTTAGGAATTACTGGGGTCTGCGTGAAGGTGCCATGCTAGTGTGATATCTCCAACTGTCTTGACGACTGGAAGGTGGATCAGTCTCTATAACATCTTAGGGTTGTGGTCATTGTGGATCAGGGTTGTTGTCATTGTGGATCAGGGTTGTGGTCATTGTGGATCAGGGTTGTGGTCATTGTGGATCAGGGTTGTGGTCATTGTGGATCAGGGTTGTGGTCATTGTGGATCAGGGTTGTGGTCATTGTGGATCAGGGTTGTGGTCGTTGTGGATCAGGGTTGTGGTCATTGTGGATCAGGGTTGTGGTCATTGTGGATCAGGGTTGTTGTCATTGTGGATCAGGGTTGTTGTCATTCTGTGTATTGTACCGTATGTGTTTCTTGGATTGAGAGGCTGATTTCTTCATCTTTTCCGTTGTTTCAAATTTGTTGTGCTTGTATCCAATGTGCTTCTATGCAACCAGGATCTGATATTGGCAGAGAACCTCCTTCAGTCACACCTCGACGCGCCGATCCTCTGGCTTGCGGACCGCCATACCACGCTGCTTCGGAACCGAGCTTGCGGCCGCTACCTCCGAGCCTCGGGCCTGCATGATCACGTGGAGCTTTCAGAGGAGTCGAAGCAGTATTTCTACGCGAATAAAAAGTTTCAGAATTTGGTTTCAGGAGCGGTGTTTCAGGCTGTTCACGGGGCGGCTTATATCGTGTACGGCAAGCCGGAGGTTCGGCGGTTGATGTTTGGGATGTTTGAAATTGATGGGGGCACAATGCATACCACGTAACGTGATGTGGGGATTGCAGTGTAACAATGTTAACCGTTTTGCTTTTGGAAGCTGTAATAGAAGACCGGTAAATGTATCAGTTCTGTACATGTCGGTTGGTAGACTCAATGGCGCATATGCTTAGGGCATATTCCTATCCTCCTATCAAGAAAACCTCCTATCAAGCTCTCACTGGAAAATTCCCTAAACCCATAATCTCTCGCTACTTTTACCAGGCAATAGGTACAATCTTGATAGGAGGTTTCTTGATAGGAGGCCGTATGAATACGCCCTTACTTTGTTCTACTACCGGTACCGGTACGGTCACAGGAAAGCAATTGCTTTGTGTTGATCTGCATAATGATGGCATGCACTATCATATAGAATCTATATTGATTACGGTACTTGCAGAAGCAAGTGCTTACCAGCAGGAAGTTGTTTTTACCTAGTCTACTTTCTAGATGGGAAAAAAAGACTGCATGGATGCACAGAGATAGACAGCATTGGGAAAATAGTGGGTCAAGAGTGTATTCATGTCAAGAGCAGTAAAAACACTTGCCTCAACGGTGAGTGGGCGTGGGATGGGAAAAGGAAAACGGGAACGAAAAGTTTGAGAGGAGGGTGGCAAGCAAGAGAAGGAGAGGGGAAAGAGGAGGGAGGAGGAGCGGAAAGAGGTGGGATGCAGAGGGGAACCTGGAGGAGGCAGGAAAAGGGGAAACAGGGAGAAGGGTGGGCATGGGGGACGTATGTACCTGGAAGTGTTGTCATGGACAGTACGAGCAAATTCCTCGACGTCCTCTACTCCCTTGTACCCACACACCACCTCCAGCACTTGCCTGCAGCGCATGCATCGCATGAGGACGGAGAGAAAAAGAACAGGAGCAGGTGCTGTGATAGACGATGCGAGCAAACTCCCCTGTACCCACACACCACCTCCAGCGCTTGCCTGCACAGCATACATCATATGGGGAACAATATAGGAGATGGCCTCAAATCCTCGCTCTGTGTGAAATCAGCAGTACTTGTTCAGTCAAAAAAAAAAAAAAAAAAAAAAAAAAAAAAAAAAAAAAAAAAAAAAAAAAAAACAGAATCAAAAAAAAAAAAAAAAAAAAAAAAAACAGAATCAAAAGTACTCGTTCACATCTTCCACTCCCCTCTACCACACACCACACCACACCACCTCACCTCCAGCACTTGCCTGCACAGCATGGCGCAAGAAGAAATGCAGGGCTTGATTCCTCACATCACAAGCACACCTTTAGAGGCGCCTCTAGAATGTACACATACCTCATGCCACAAGCACATCCCATGCATGCCCACCTGACGGATTTTGAGGCGCCTCAAAAGTCATATCCCATGCCGCAAGCTCATCCCATGCATGCCCACCTGATGGCACAGGGGTTTATCATTGCCCTGCACCGTCGCATCCTCCAAAAGAGCTACTTTCTTCTTTTGAGGTGCCTGAAAAGCTTCTCTCTTCTTCCCCTGAAATGAAACCTTCCACCATCTTACTTCCCTTACCCCACCCCACATACCCACCCACCCCAACCCTTCCCACATGCGCGCCAACCTGATGGCACACGGCTCGTTTCTGCCCTTCACCATCGCATCTTCAGAATTAACTTCCTTCCTCTTGGCTTCTCATATGCTTGCCCCTCTCCTCCTTGCATCACAGCACATGTCACCCACACCCCATACCCCAACCCCAAACCCACCCGATAGCACACGGCTCGTTCCTGCCCTTCACCATCGCATCCTCAGAATGTGCCTCTTTCTCCTAAATAATCCCACACCTTCCTTCCCTCATCCCACATCCCCACCCCATCCCAGATACCCACCTACCCCATCCCACATGCCCACCTGATGGCACAGGGTTTGTTTCTCCCCTTCACCATCGCATCCTCCGAATGTGCCTCCTTCTTCTTTGCCGCCCATTTGCTTGTCTCACTCCTCCTTAGATCGCATCACATAACACCACATCACATCACATCACATCACATCACATCACATCACATCACATCACATCACAGCACATCACATCACATCACAGCACGTCACATGTTACCTTCCAACACACCCACCTGATGGCACCCGGCTCGTTTCTCCCCTTCACCATAGCCTCCTCCGAATGTGCCTCCTTCTTCTTTGCCGCCCACTTGCTGCCCCAGTCACCACATCCCATACCCCAATCCCACATGCCCACCTGATGGCACACGGCTCGTTTCTGCCCTTCACCATAGCCTCCTCCGAATGCGCCTCCTTCTTTGCCGCCCACTTGCTGCCCCAGTCACCACATCCCATACCCCAATCCCACATGCCCACCTGATGGCACACGGCTCGTTCCTGCCCTTCACCATAGCCTCCTCCGAATGTGCCTCTTTCTTCTTTGCCGCCCACTTGCTGCCCCAGTCACCACATCCCATACCCCAATCCCACATGCCCACCTGATGGCACACGGCTCGTTCCTGCCCTTCACCATAGCCTCCTCCGAATGTGCCTCTTTCTTCTTTGCCGCCCACTTGCTGCCCACGAATCGGTGGCCGGCGTGTGTCGGCCGCACATCGCAGTAAGGCGAGTCGGTCTCAAGCATGAGGCGATTGGGAGGGATCCCCGCCATGGCTTTAAGATTGTCCTCCGTCTTTAATGAGCATCCGTTGATGCCTGCATGGGGACATGGGATGAAAGCGCGCGGGGGAGAGAGGCCGAGGTTAGAGAGGTGTGTGTCGGCTCGGCCGCACATCACAATAGGGGGAGTCGGTCTCAAGCATGAGACGGTTGGGAGGGATCCCCGCCATGGCTTCAAGATTGTCCTCCGTCTTTAAAGAGCAACCGTTGATGCCTGCAATGGAGAGATGGGAAGGAGGACGCAAGGATGGAAAGAAGAAGGGAGGAAAAAATAAAACAAAAACTACAACTCCCACAAATTCACTAACCAGCCTGCCACTTCACAAACGTAATGCACTTGGGCGGTCCCGATCCACCTGTCGACCTCTCCTCTGTCACCCGGCTGGCAGCACTGCTCTCTCTCACCGATGGATAACTTTGGAACGGCGAGAATGGTGTCCCCCTCCTCGCACGCTCCTGTGAAGGAGGAATGCACCACGAGGTGACTTTTGAGTCGACTCAAAAGTCACCTCGAACGGCGAGAAAGGTGTCCCCCTCCTCGCACGTGCCTGTGAACGAGGAATGCACCACTCCCCCCACGAGCCAGCTTGCCACTTCACAACTCACGGCACTTGGGCGGTGCTGATTAGAGGCCTGACCGGCAGCATTGCTCTCTCTCACCTATGGATAGCTTGGGCACTGCGAGAATGGCGTCCCTCTCGTCGCACGTGCCTGTGAACGAATGCACCACTCCCCCCCCCACGAACCTGCGGAGTAGTTTTGCACATCCATGAAGGAGCAGGGAGCAAAGGGAGAATGATGACTTGGGGGAGTCAATTCGCAAGTCTAGTTTTGAGGGGCCTCAAAACGTGCCAGGGAACGAATGCACCACCCCCCCCCACAATGTTGCAGAGTATTTTTGAGAATTCTCAAAAATACTCTGCAACATCTTGGGAACGAATTCACCACCCCCCCCACGAACCTGGAGCATTGCAAAACCCATGGAGAATCAGCTTTTGAGTCGACTCAAAAGCAGAGTCGACTCAAAAGCAGAGTCGACTCAAAAGCAGAGTCGACTCAAAAGCACCCCCCCAACGAACCTGGAGCATTGCAAAACCCATGGAGAATCAGGGAACAGGGGGTAAAGAAAGATCCGGACATGGCTCACTGAGCCATGTCCGGATCAAAACGTGCCAGGGAACGAATGCACCACCCCCCCCACGAACCTGGAGCATTGCAAACCCATGGAGAATCAGGGAACAGGGGGTAAAGAAAGATACTCACATATGGAAAGAAAGCAATTTGTGAGTGCATATGGTGGTTATTTGACTCATCACAAGGAGACCACATATGGGCTGGTGACCCATGATTGGTGGGTGGCACTCATGATGGGTGCTGCAGGTGATCACTGCACTGCACCAAAATAGCACCTTGAACCTTTGCCTCCGCCCCAGCATCCCCTACAGCACTCACACCCTCCTCTCCTCGCCTTTTTCCCCATCCATCCCACCCTCACCTGCTCTCATTCCTGGGCAGCAGCAGCAGTGCGCATGTGCAGGAACATGGGCAGGTGGGTGTTTCAAGACAATAAAGCTGTACCTCACTTCACCGCACTCAAACGCTGCCCCCTCCTCCCTCACCTGCCCTCGTTCCTCTTCACAATCTCCAGGAAATCGTCAGCAGCAGCGCGCATGTGAAGGAACATGGGCAGCTGGGTGGTTCAAGACAATCAAGCTGTACCTCACTGCACCGCACTCAAACGCTGCCCCCTCCTCCCTCACCTGCTGTCGTTCCTCTTCACAATCTCTAGGAAATCGTCAGCAGCAGCGCGCATGTGAAGGAACATGGGCAGCTGGGTGGCTTGGGCGAGGTCGAACTGGAGCTCAAAGTACCTTCGGGAAGGTCAAGAGCAAGGAGGGTGATGGGAGGGAGGCATGGGAGGAAGGGACGGGAGAAACGGTGGGTATGGTATGGGATGGGAAGAGTATATACTTGAGGGCATGTGCTTAGCAGATGGGACGAACATGGGCAGCTGGATGGCTTGGGCGAAGTCGAACTGGAGCTCGAAGTACCTTGGGGAACTCAGTGAGCAAAGGGGAGAAATGGGAGGCATAGCAGGGAAGAATCAGGAGAGAGGTGGGCTTGAGGGCATGTGCAGGAACATAGGCAGCTGGGTGGCTTGGGCGAGGTGGCATTGGAGCTCGAAATATACTGGGGAAGGGAGTGAGGAAGGAAAGGGATGGAAGGGATGGGAGGAATATTAAGGATGGTAGGCATGGGGGGGATGGTAGGCATGGGGGGGATGGTAGGCATGGGAGGGATGGAAAGGGATGCTATAGAGTGGACAGCATGTGCCATTCCGCAGAATTCTTGTGCTGTAACCTTTCACCCTCTCTCCCTTTCTCCCTCTCTCCCCT